GTTTTTATACCATGGCCTCAAGGCTGCTTCAATATATGTAAATCTGTAAATATAATTCATCACATGAACAAAATAGAGAACAAAGACTATATGATTCTCTGAACTGATTCAAAAAAAGCTTTTAATAATATCCAGCATCCTTTCATGATCAGAAGCCTTATGAAAATGGGTATAGAAGGGACATTTCTTAAACCAATAGAGGCCATCTACAGCAAAACCACAGCCAATATTGTATTGACTAGAATTAAATTGATATCATTTCCATTCCAATCAGGAACCAGGCAAGGTTATTCATTGTGTCCACTGCTTTTCAACATTGTAATGAAAGTCTTAGTCATCACAATCAGGCAAGAAAAAGCGATCAAAGGTATCCATATAGGGTCAGAGGAGATCAAACTTTCACTCTTTGCAGATGATGTGATTGTATATCTGGAAAACACCAGGGATTCTACTACAAAACTCTTAGAAGTGATCAAGGAATACAGCAGCATCTCAGGTTACAAAATCAACACTCATAAATCTGAAGCCTTTATATACACCAACAATAGTGAAGTGAGAAAAAGGTCAAGGACACTATTCCTTTCACAATAGTGCCAAAGAAGATGAAATATCTGGGAGTTTACCTAACAGAGAATGTGAAATATCTCTATAAAGATAACTATGAAACTCTAAGAAAAGAAATACCTGAAGATGTTAACAAATGGAAAAACATTCCATGCTTATGGCTGGGAAGACTCAACATTGTTAAAATGTCCATATTACCCAAAGCAATATACAATTTTAATGCAATCCCTATTAAAGTTCCACTGTCTTACTTTAAAGATTAAAAAAAAATACATTGTTTTTCATGGAATCAGAAAAAAACCTCAAATAGTCAAGACATTACTCAGAAATAAAAACAAAGCAGGAGGAATCACACTACCAGACTTCAGACTATTATAAATCGATAGTGATCAAAACAGTATGGTACTGGCACAAAAACAGAGAGGTAGATGTATGGGACAGAATAGAGAACCAAGAGATGAACCCAGCTGCTTACCTTTATTTGATCTTGGATAAGCCAATTAAAAACATTGAGTGGGGAAAATATTCCCTATTTAACAAATGGTGTTGGGTGAACTGGCTAGTGACCTGCAGAAGACTGAAACTGGACCCATGCCTTCACCATCAACTAAGATAGACTCTCATTGGATTATAGATTTAAACTTCAGACATAAAACTATAAAAATACTAGAAGAAAGTGTAGGGAAAACACTTGAAGAAATCAGCCTGGGAGAATATTTTATGAGGAAGATCCCTCGGGCAATTGAAACAACACCAAAAATACACTACTGGGACCTGATCAAACTAAAAAGCTTCTGCACAGCCAAGAACACAGTAAGTAAAGGCAGCAGACAGTCCTCAGAATGGGGGAAGATATTTGCTGATTATGTCTCTGACAGAAGTTTAATAACCAGAATCCACAGAGAACTCAAACATACTAGCAAGAAACGAACAAGTGCTCCCATACCAGGGTGAGCAAGGGACTTTAAGAGAAACTTCTCTGACGAAGACAGGCGCACAGCCTACAGACATATGAAAAAAATGCTAATCATCCTTAATCATCAGAGACATGCAAATCAAAACTACTTTAAGATATCATCTAATTCCAGTAAGATTAGCCCACATCACAAAATCCCCAAACCAGAGATATTGGTGTGGATGTGGAGAAAATGGAACACTTCTACATTGCTGATGGGAATGCAAACTAATACATTCCTTTTGGATAGCTGTTTGAAGAACACTTAGAGATGGAAAAATAGACCTGCCATTTGATCCTACAATTCCTCTACTAAGTATATATCCAGAAGACCAAAAATTACATTATAACAAAGATATATGTACCAGAATGTTTATTGCAGCCCAATTCATAATTGCTAAGTCTTGGAAGAAGCCCAAGTGCCCATCGACCCATGAATGGATGGATAAATTGTGGTATATGTACACCATGGAATATTATGCAGCCTTAAAGAAAGATAGAGACTTTGTCTCTTTCATGTTTACATGGATGGAGGTGGAACATATTCTTCTTAGCAAAGTATCTCAAGAATGGAAGAAAAATTATCCAATGTACTCAGCCTTACTATGAAACCAATTTATAGCTTTCTTATGAAAGCTATAACCCAATTATAGCCCAAGAAGAAGGGGAAAGGGGAGAGGGGGGATGATGTGTGGAGGGAAGATAATTGTTGGAATCACACCTACAGTGCATTTCACAAGGGTACATGTGAAATTTACTAGGTGTAGAATATAACTGTCTTAACACAACTAAAGAAAATTCCGTGAAGGCTATGTTAACCAGTTTGATGAAAATATTTCAAATTATATATAAAACCAGCACATTGTACCTCATGATTGCATTAATGTACACAGCTATGATTTGATAAATAAAAAAAATAGAATGGAAGGAAAAGTATCCAATGTACTTAGCCCTATCATGAAACCAATTTTTAGTTTTCATATGAAAGTTATAACCCAACTATAGCCCAAGAAGAGGGGAAGGGAGGAGCGAGAAGACAGGGAAAGGGAGTGGAATGGGTGAGTGGAGGGATAGTAATTGGTGGGCACATACCTACGTGGTGCATTTTACAAGGGTACATGTTAAATTTACTAAGTGTCGAGTATAAATGTCTTAACACAATAACTAAGAAAATGCAGTGAAGGCTATGTTAACCAGTTTGATAAAAATATTTCAAATGGTATACAAAACCAGCACATTGTACCCCCCTAAAAAGAGTTAAAAAATTACAAATTGATTCTGCAATTTCTATAGTTTTGCCCATAATTTAATTGTTAATTTTGTTGTAAAGTATTGTAAATTCAATTCTTTTGTGTTTCTCCCTGTATTCCTTTGACCAGTTAGTATTTTCATTTGATTTCATAAATATGCAATTGTGATTGCATTTCTCTGATGGAAAAATTAAGGAAATAACTTCATATATATGTATAAACCTGGAAATCCATTTATAAACATAAACGTGATGTATATTTATACAAATTTTTTAATATACCTATCAGAATTCACACTTGCAAATCAATAAAATATATCCCTTCATTATTCAGGTAATTAAAAATATCAACAATCATTCTAAACACTGTTGAAAAGTTAAACAGAACCCTTGGGCATTTAGATAATATTTTATTCATACATCTTCACATAATCATGTGTTCAGGTTTTTACTCTGTCCCAATAGATGTGTACATGTAATTTCTATGTCCCAATGGATTATCAACGTAATCTTCCAAAACAAGCAAATTAATTAATTTGTAATTATGAGTAAAATAAATAATATCCCAAAGGACCCAAACCTCACTTAAATATGGTTTTGCTATATAGCAACAATTTCTTGGTGCCTATATGCACTGTTACAGTAGATAAGTCACTAGCTTATACTTCTTATTTTTTAAGGATACAAAAATATTTGATTCTTTTCATATGTACCAGAACTTACGAGTTTATTATTTCAAGGAAAGTATTAGTAATTGAGCTTCTGTTTGTTGTATAAACAGTGCTTTATTTTTTTCCACATTGGACACATTATCACAAAACTCACATGTGGTATATATTATTTTCTCCTTTACTCAGGTAAAGGAACAGCAGATCAGAGAGTTTTGCCACTTGCTGGTGATTCCATAGACTGTGACAGAGCTACGAACTGATCTTAACAGGTGAACAGCACTTTGCCTTCCATGCTGGCAGCCACATTCAACATCAAAAGCATTTGTGCCTTTGACGCATTTATTTTCTTTTCATATAGGTAAGAAAATTAGAGTTTAAGAATTTAGTCAGACACATAATTCTAGTACTATGCATACCATAGCATATGGTTGTCATCATTCTCATGTAACTTTGAGTGAATATTTTGATAGACTGTTTAGGTCAGAGCATAGTTGCTATATATTTTCCTAATGATCCTTCAAATAGAGTTTCTTGAAGAAAAAGCAAATTATTTTGAAGAATATGTTGTTTTTTAAATTAGAGACATAGGAAAGAATAAACGTAACTAACAATTCTCCCCTTTTTTCATCATGCACTGTATTTTGAACAAAGAAGCCATTAGTCTGAAATGTCAATTAATTTTTTGTTCAGTATAACTCCGTAGCTCTTCTATCTAGCTATTTCCATCCCTATTATTCTAATTCCACTCACCATGTCAAATGCTCCCACTTCTTATTTATCTGTAGCTGCTTATTAGAACTAGTGACGTTAAAATTTATCTAAGGCAGATCCTCCAGGAAATTCCATTTGCTTTCTATTTAATCCTAGTCCATAATTATACCTGGGTTCTCCATTTTGCTTCACACAATCTCATAAATTTGAAGGTATGGGGTAGGAGATAAGTCTTGGGAGACATTGCAAAATATCTATGGTTTTTAGTTCATAACAATAATAAAAATTCTCTTTGGCCTTTTCATCTTGTGAATATAGACATCATCTAGTTCTTGGTATTAATTAGTATAACTGAGGGTGAAAATTTTTGTTCCAGGAAAAGAAACAAGTCAGAAAGAAAGAGATGTCAAAGTCAACTCCATACAGTGTTTGTTGGCCCAGTCAACTATACAGATGAATACAGAATTTGCTAAGATAGACAACACTGGGTCAGAGGCACTTTGGGATGGGAACAGGAAATCAAGAGTTAGCCTTTCCATAAACATTTATGTTATTCATAGTTTATGTGATTATAATCAATGTTGCTGGAAATATCTTTTTCAGGATTAAATTTACTCTAAATTATGCAAATAGAAGAAAATAGCTGAGTCCTAAAACACTATTCCTCAGTTTTAATATTTTCTGAAATTTGAAAAGAAAATTTCTGTGCAGAGTGAAAGAATATTTCTTAAAATATTTTGAAAACAAGACAAAGTTACCATTTAAAACATTGCATTGTAAGATCTTATTTAGGCATATACATTAATAGTGAGATCTGGTCTGCTTTCAATAGGCATCATTAAGTGAGTAGATGGAGACTGAAAATGATACAACAGTGACAGAGTTCATTATTTTGGGACTAACAGATAATCCTACACTATGTGCCATTTTCTTTGTGGTTTTTCTAGCAGTTTATATTGTTACCATAGTGGGAAATATTAGCATAATCCTCTTAATCCGCAGCAGCCCACAGCTTCATACCCCAATGTACCTTTTTCTTAGCCATTTGGCCTTTGTGGATATTGGCTATTCCACATCAGTTACACCAGTTATGCTCATCAGTTTCTTAAGAGAAAAAACGACTATCCCAGTCACTGGTTGTATAGCCCAGCTTGCTTCTGATGTCACCTTTGGAACTACAGAGTGCTTCCTGCTGGCCACTATGGCCTACGATCGCTACGTGGCCATCTGCTCTCCCCTGCTGTACTCCACCCACATGTCCTCCAGAGTCTGCTTCCTCCTACTGGGTGCTTCCTACCTGGGTGGATGCATGAACGCCTCTTCCTTTACAGGCTGTTTGATGAACCTTTCCTTCTGCGGCCCAAATAAAATCAATCATTTTTTTTGTGATCTCTTCCCACTCTTGAAACTTTCTTGTGGTCATATTTACATTGCTGAAATATCTCCTGCCATCTCTTCCGCGTCAGTCCTTATCAGCACACTGTTCACCATAATCGTGTCCTACATCTACATCCTCCACTCCATCATGAGGATGCGGTCGACTGAGGGAAGGAACAAGGCCTTCTCCACCTGTACTTCCCACCTCACTGCGGTCACTTTGTTTTATGGGACAGTTTTGTTTGTTTATGTGATGCCTAAGTCAAGCTATTCAGCTGATCAGGTCAAAGTAGCATCTGTGATCTATACAGTGGTTGTCCCCATGTTGAACCCTCTCATCTACAGTCTCCGGAACAAGGAGGTAAAAGCAGCCATGAGAAAACTGATGGTGAGAACACACTGGCTTTCCTGAATTAAGTCAGATATAAGCCCATAAATAACAAAACCACTGATTTTGGGAACATTTGTATTTGAGATTTTAATGATATTTATCATTTATTATATCATTTTGAAGAGCTCTTTTAAATGTAGAAAGCCAATGTTTATTTCTATTTACAAAGTTAACTGTGTCATTTTTGTGGGCATCTTCTGGGTTCAAATTAAGTATAGAATGTTCAAGGTCAGTGTACCTCAGAAAATGGTTTCCATTGAAATCTTTCCCATTCACCAATTACAGAATTCAAATTAAATAGACATAATGAAGTGTACTTTAATCAAAGAAAAAATTTCTTTTAGTTCTATCTTGTGAAATAACATTTGGAAAAGAAATTTTCAATACTTGTGTGAAAAATGATAGTGTTTGACAAGTCAGGTAGTTCTGAGCACTTTCTTCACAGGTACTGTCCTGCCATCATGAATGGATATTTAAGATTTGGGAAAATGATATGATGTATGAGGTATCTCAGAAAATCATATACTTATTTTTAATTTCATTTAAGCCAGAGAAAAAATTATGATTCTTCTATTTGGCCATTAAGAGGTCCAATCCACATATAACACAGAAGAAACTCTAAATAAATTTCAGATGACTCTTCTCATAACTGAAGTCTCTAGATGAGTGCTGAAGTAGAATTTTGGAAGTGGACATTTCTCTGGGATAGGAGATTGGGATAGTTAGACTTTCTTTGAAAAACTGGTCACAGTCAAGAGGCATGGAATTTTGGTTCAGGCAAAGAATACATTTGCCATGTATTTTTATAAAGTCTCTTAAAAAGATGTCTATTGAGTAATATTTTACTTAATTTTTTTGTGATAATAGAACAGTAATAATGTCAGACAAATCCTGAGACAGTAGGGAGGGACCATTTTATAAGCTGATCTCCCATTCCTGGGTTCTTCACTAACCAAATTAAAGAAATCTTAATTGTGAAACATGGCCTTTTTCAAAGAAAAGGCAATCAAAGGTATGACTTCAGTCTGGCAAAGGGTCGTCTTTGGGTCATGGTGGATAGGCTGCACTCTGGTGGTTGGAGGCTTTCACGGACTATTTCTGGTAGGCCTTCTTTTCATCTTGCCCTCCACACTTTAGTTTATCCTCAGACTTTTCCTCCCCATAGTCTCCCTGGGTGACCTCATCTTCTCCTATGGGGTCACCTGCCACTTGTATGGTGACAGTATCCCTACTTCCCTATTTCCAAAGACAACCTTCTCTGGAGGACAGAGGAATGTCTTCACTGGGCTTTTCCCCAGGACTCTCAAACTCCGTGTTCTCTGACTGAATTTACCATATTTCTCTCTAAATTATTCTTTCTGCTCTGTTTTCTTTACCAATAATTATCACCTTTTTTGAGGTCTAGTACTCCAACAGAGTTGGGGTAGCCCTCACTGCACACCTATCCAAATGGTCTGCCTCCTTTCTTCTCTTTCTTTCTCTCAAAAGAGAGATACGTCACATATTGACCTCATCCTTATCTAAGTACCTTTTATCTAGAGGCTTAAATGCTCCCCCAATTGATTATGATAAATTCATATGGAGATTTATCTTTTGTTTTTCAACTCTAAGGGATTAAAATAATTCAATCACCCAGATGTAGAGGATATGATTTCATCTGGCACTGTTAACAGTCCTTTGTATTTACACTCATTTTTGCCTCCCAAGTTCTGAATCAAATGAAAAAAAGGCAAAAAAGGAAAAGTATATGTGAAAGAAAAGTTTTACCCGTAGAAATGAAAGAGCTGATAATGTGGCTCTTAACAATTAACAACGTGGCTTATGTTCACAGACACATGTATTTTCCTGCCATGAATTCCAGAGTTTGACACTCTTTCCTTCTGGCAGTACTATTGTTGGGCAGAAAATCAGGTGTTCCCAATGAGACTTGGCCTTTCCTGGTGAGTTTACAGCATGGCCAAGAGCAATTAAGAACACTGAGGTCAGGCTCTCTCCTAAGAGAAAGGAAGAAGAAGAAAGGTTGGGATGCTGTTTTGGGGTGCATTGTGTTCTCCTAAAATTTATACTGAACTCTTAAACATCAGTGAGTTTATTTGGGTATAGGTTTGTTGTAGATGTAATTTGTTCAAATGAAGTCATACTGGAGGGGTTGAGCCCCCACTGCTGTCGTTAAAAGAGAAATTTTGGACATAGGCAACACATAAGGACAACTCCATATGAAGATAAAGACAGAGATCTGGGTGATGTTTCTACAAGCCAAGGAACACTAATGATTGCCAGTCAACCACCAAAAGCTAGATGAGAGGCCTGGGTCATATTCTCCTTCATAACCCTTAGAAGGAACCAATCCTGCCAACTTCTTAAACTTCCAGACCATGAGAATAAATTTCTGCATTTAAGCCCTTGACTTGTGATACATTGTTATGATAGCCTTAGAAAACTAATATAATTGCACATCTAGTTGTCCCCTCAAAATTTATGATCAGCTGATTTGCTCCTTCCAGGGGAGGAAGGAATGAAGGCTTAGAAATATGCAAGATGTGTTAAACTAGTGGGTGCCCTCCAGAAGAGGGAAAAGAAAATCAGGGGTGGCAAAAATCATCTTCCCAAATAAAGTGAGTCAAGAAGTAAGGATCAATGATAATTATAATATCTCTGCTGGGGTCAGTCAAAAATTTTTCAGAAGGCTTTTCTTTTTTAAGGTTCCCATTTACTGTGGATTTTAGATTGCTACATAGAAGACAGGGGTTTGTACTGCAAGGAGTTTGTTTTAAAAGATTCTATTATGATTTTAAAATAGTCACAAATTGGTGGCACCTGTGGCTCAGTGAGTAGGGTGTCAGCCCCATATATGGAGGGTGGGGTGTTCAAACCTGGCCCTGGCCAAACTGCAACAACAATAAAATAAAATAAAATATTCACAAATTTCAAGAAAAATTTTCCTCCTCTGATTTAGACTTAGGAAGTGGTAGACATTTTCTCAAGATTTTGTAAAGCATTTACCCTGTAGTAATGGAGGAAGTTAAAGCAAAGAAGTAAGAGTTGACTTCTTGAAGGTGATGAAATCGTTGCATGCTATGATTGTGGTGGTGGTTATACAGGTATATACACTTGTTAAAAGTCAACAACTTGTATATTTAAATTGTGTATGTTAATTACACATCAATAAAATTATTTGAAGAGTCTATAAGAAAGTTCTTTCTTTCCCATTGCAATGTGAAGGTATAGGGAATGGTAACAAAATCATCACGCACCTACCCATGTAACCAATACTATTTCTTAATTATTTATCACAACTGTTGCCTTTTGGTCTGTCATAGCTCCCTTAGTCACCTGTATATTTCACTTCTTTCTTAGCTCCTCTAGTTACCTGTATAGTTCATTTCTTTCTCTGACACTTTGACACTAAACGTATACTTGCATTGCATTGATTTTCCTTTTTCAAAAAAATAGTTTTTGCTTCTTTTAATGTGAGGCTACTGGTGATGAATTTTAATTAATTAATTAGTTATTTATTTTTGAGACAGTCTCATTGTGTTTGCCAGGTTAGGGTGCAGTGGCATAATAGCTCACAGCAACCTCAAACTCCTGGGTTCAAGTGATCCTCTTGCCTCAGCCACCCCAGTAGCCAGGACTACAGCTGCTCACCACTATGCCTGGCCTATTTTTTGTTTGTTTTTTTTTTTTTTTTAGATAGAGCCTCACTTTGTTGCCCTTAGTTGAGTGCTGTGGCATCACAGCTCACAGCAACCTTAAACTCTTGGGCTTAAGTGATTCTCTTGCCTTAGCCTCTCAAATAGCTGGGACTATAGCTGCCTGCCACAGCGCCCTGTTATTTTTAGAGATGAGGTCTCACTCTGGCTTAGGCTGGTTTTGAACTCGTGAGCTCAGGCGATCCACCCTCCTTGGCCTTCCCGAGTGGTAGGATTACAGGAGTGAGCCACCGTGATTACCTAGTTTTATATATAT